CCCTCAGCTTTTCTTCTTCGTCTTCTTCGTCTTCTTCGTCTTCTTCACTCTGAAATTTTCCAGGAAAATTGACAGAGAAAATCTGAGAATGATGAGCAGTTATGGAGGAACAGTAAGTAAAGCAAATCCATAGAGCATTTATTCTTTCCCGGAAAATTTTCCTTTTCCTTTTCCCTTTCCCCTTTTCCTTTCCCCTCTTCAATGAATGCTTCAGAGCTTCCCTTCCCTTCCCTTCCATGGCTTTCTGCCACTAACTTTCCCGGATTTTACTTTTGAGTTTGGTCAACCTTTTTCCTTCACATGATTATTGTTAGTGGAGGTCGCGGAGATTAATTTGAGCTTCTCTTTGACGTCTTCTTCCCCTTTCACCTTTAACACTCTCTTTATTCTCCCCTCGTGTCTGCTACTCCTTTAAACGAATCTTCCCCTTTTTACCTTCCTACTCCCATCTCTATATTTCTCTCTACATTTCGCTTTCAATGGTGTTTCTCAGAATCTGACAGGTGAAGGAATTTCTTCTCTGTTTCTCTCATGGAAGGAATGGATTTGTTCTCCAGTCTTCTTGTACCTTCGGTTAAGTACTCTGAACATCGAAACCACACCAAGCACTTTTCTCCGCCATTAATGGCGCCTAAGCTCGTCAGGATCTCTGTAACTGACGAAGATGCCACTGATTCTTCTAGTGATGAAAAGGAGGAAGAACAACACGTCTCTCGCCGAGTCAAGAAATTTATTACCGAGATTACGATCGAGGCCTTGGGGAGAAGAGACCGGAAGAAGTCCACCGCCGGGAAATCGAATTTACGGAAGCCGCTACAGCCGGGAACTAAGAAATTCCGCGGCGTGAGGCAACGGCCCTGGGGAAAATGGGCGGCTGAGATTAGAGATCCTTTGCGACGTGTACGCATCTGGTTAGGTACCTACAATACGGCTGAAGAAGCCGCTATGGTGTACGACAACGCTGCCATTCAACTCCGTGGACCCACCGCCCAAACTAACTTCAGTCCTCCGCCGGCAGTGAGCTCCAGCAATGTCTCCGTTGAGGAGACCAACGACAATCTCTCTTCTCCGACTTCCGTTCTCCGTTGCCCCTCGCCGTCGACGAATGAAAAATCCCCTGAAACTGCTTCAACCGGTAAAGAAACCCGCCGTGCCGAATCGGAGATTTTTCCGGATGTTTCCTTCTGTTCGAACTGTGATTCGTTTTACCCCAACGATATCTTCGACTTCCAACCGCCGATTCCGTCACTATTCGGCGATACAGCTCTCAACGACGCCGTTTTGAGGGGGGACTACGGCAGTAGCATGTTTATTAACCCGGATGATGATTTCGGGTTCGAGTTAGGATTCGGGTTCAGACCCTCCACGTGGCATATGAGTGAAAATTCTTTCCAAGACATCAGCGACATATTCGGGTCGGATCCTCTCATTGCGCTTTAAAATTTTAATTAAAGACAAAAAAAAAAAATATAGGCCGAGTTTTTCGGCAAATTTTGTGAGTGTCGGATTTTGTTTTCTGCATTTAGTATTATTATTATTATTTTTTAATCGTAAATCTTGGGCATTCTTAATTGTGCTGACGTGTATCAAAAATGGACTTGTCTCTCTTCCGTCACGGTAACGGCGACGGATAAACTTTTTGTGCTACACATTTTATCATACCTTTTAACGGTTTAGCACGTGACACGCACATTTTCAAAACATTTGGTTAACACGTGCGAGAGAGATTACACGTGCGATGTGGTTCCGTCCTCAAATTGTCCAATCCCATCCACCAACTTAATTTAATATTACTATTCATTATCTTTATTTAAAAAAAGAAAACTTTACTTCTATTATGTATTCCACGTCATTTTAATTTTTATTTGAATTTAGAAAGGGCAGAGATGTCTTTTCGTGAAGGGGCCAACGTGTAACTAGTAGCGCGCACAAAAATATCTTACTTACGTGGGTGGGGCGTTACAATATTGCTTAATTTCTTTATTAATTTTTTAAAAAATTGTTCGAATTTGGAAAATAAATTATAAATAATTTTGGAGTAGTTTATTTAAAAATTTAAAAGTCAACTTAGGATTTCCAAATTCCATTAATGCCCCTCTCAAATGCGTGGGAAAACATATATTTGTTTATTAAAAAGTCATCATTAGAAAAAAATTAATAAAAAGGTTTTGCTTGATTCCACACTTAAAAAGTTAAAAACACCCGCAGAGAATCTCTTTCCCTTATCCTCCTGTCCCCACCGAGATTCAATCCTGGCCATACACGTAATCATCAGCCAACTACTTCTCTGGGTCGCATGGTCCATTCTTACCGTGAACCGTAATGAAAATGGGCCGTTTGGTCCCCCAGGCCCAGTTCTTGGTGCCTCCATTTCCCAGATATTCTGATTCTGATTGGGCGGACCCACCGAATCCAACAACGAGTCTTGCTGATGTGGACCTCAGTTTTTAATTTCTTTTGAAATCCAATGGACAGGTCAGCTGGTGGCCCACCTCCCAATCACGGGCCTTTTGGTGGCCCATTTCCCAGAATTCAAATACCATTATTATTATGATTATTATTATTATTATTATTATTATTATATTTTACAAACAAAATTTTAAATAAGAAATAAAATTCATAAATAAACAAAATATTATATATATATATATATATCCCATGAAATATATAAATAATCCTTTAAAAGTTTGGAAACACAAGAAAAGAATTGTTGGGCGCTTTTAAATAGAATTATAAGACAGAGGCAGAAGCAGAGGTCTTGCTAACTGCTGAGCGCCAACAATTTTAAAGAAATATGGACAAAAGCACGGGCATTAACATTGCCGAAGAGGCCAACCCAAATTTGTGAGCCATGGCTGCAGCCGGGGTTACAACCCTGGCTGCATCCAGGGTTACAACCGGGGCTGCAGCCGGGGGTTCCACCGTGGTGCCAAAAGCGGTGGGAATTCCAAAAGTTTGAAGGTTAAATGGCAAAGGGTCTGAGCCAGAAGTTCCCTCTTTTAAACCCACTTGGATGTGGAGCTTCTGGCCAGCTTCACAGTGCTTACCAATCCCATCGTAGTAGTAGTAGTCACCTGGGTGGGTGATGTTCAAGATGGTTGGCCCAAGGTAGTACATGTTGATCACATCCTCTTCCCCTTGCCCACATGTCTCGTAGTCCGCCTTCTTTACGGCCAATAAGTTGTTTGCACCTGGCCGGTACGGGAAAACTGCAACCCGTGTCCAAAATTAGTTTGATGATCTCATTGAATAATTTCTCGAAAGAGAAGGAAAATGAAGAGATACACATACCAAGTTTGTCTCCGACACCGAAGGTTCTAGGTTTTGCCCACTCGTCGAAAAAGGTAACGTTGTCGGGCACTCGCCAGCCGTGGTTTCCACCGACGATGTGAGTGAATGCATCCATAGATGGCATGAAAACTAAGCAACTCAAGATCCCAATCATTAAAGCCACGTACATTTTGTCCATTTTGGTTTCCTTTTAGCCACTCTCTACTCTTTGGAGATTAAGAGAGAGAGGGAAAAAAAAGAAAGGAGAGGGAGATAATAATGTTGGTTTTGTTCTCCCCTAATTCCAAAGGGAAGAAAAGGGAAAGAAATAGGGAAGCAAATTAGGAATTTGGAAGGCAATGGTTAAGGGTTAGTGGTTCCATTTGGTTGTTTTGACATTGTCAAATTTTACCCTCTTTTTTTGTTTTGGCATATTTAGAGAAACAAAGCCTATTTTTAAGTACAATTATGGACCTCAATCTTAACCTTTTATTATTATTATTATTATTTTGTGTTTTATATTATTTTCTATTGCTACCAAATTTAAAGGTGTTTAATAGTATTATACAGGAATTTGATACGGGTGAATCCACTAAGAATTAGGGTCTAGATAACATATCTCAAATGGAAATGTCCTCATTCTATTAATCATATCCAATAATGTGACATGGAGTTTCTAGGCATCCTCTTTTGAGTTATGAAACTCTTGAGGCTTCAAATTGGTTTCTCCTCGAATTAGATTGGCTAGTTTGACCTCGTGAAGGGTTGACCTTGAGCTTGGGTTGACCTTGAGCTTGGGTTGCATGAGTCGAGTTATCCTAGGCTTAGTTGTCCAACCCATTTAGGGTTTGGGGCACAAAAAGCTTGGTCAATTGGACGTTGGTTGTACGTGCCCAAGGTGTGGCTTGCTAAGCGTGCTTGCATGCCCTAGGGATAGCATGGTGGGGCGTGGTTGGCCCATCACAACCCATTTTCCTTTGGGTTTAGTTTTACTCGTAACATTAAGTATAAATCTATTAACATAAAATTAAGTTTAAAAATATATTAAAAATAAAGCATATGAACTAAAATAGGCAAAGTTGGTAGTTTATCCTACTTTTTATATTTATTCCCTTTTAGGGCAACATCTTCCCCTGTCAACTCTAGAGGACTTTTGAAATTTGGGCTTCTATCAACTTGAGATGACATGTATATAAGAATGTTCCATAAGTGGTTATGCACCAGCATCTTTTTTTTTTATGTATACCTATGGAGACTTGTGTCTAGGATTTGGAATACATATTTGACACTCGGTAATTTTTAACATGTTTTGTCTTCATTCACATATTTTATTAAGATGACCTAAGATAGAATTGGATCATATTTTATTAAGATGACCTAAGATAGAATTGGATGTGACATCAAGTTTAATCTCCTACGATTGAGGTCATAAGCTTTACGTGTATGATCGAGATAAATTTAGAAGAATTAGATGAGATGAATACAAATTTTAAGATAAGGGTAAATTAATTAAAACTAATTAATTAGTAAAAAAAAACATACCTAACTCCATACATTTCAACCCATGTTTTTTCCATTGAAAATTGAGTGGTTGATTGGAGATTGGGTTTACAAACTTCATTGCGTATTAATTAGTCAAACTTTATTTTAATTTTAAATATATTAGTAACAATTAAGAAGAGAATATTTTTTTATGTTATTTGGGTACAAAATTGAAGGGGAGAAGAAAGGGGAAAAAGGGAAAGCCAATAAATGTCATTTAAAAATGAGGAGAATGTACATAGAAGAAATGTGTGAGGATGATGATGATGATGATCTCATAAATAAATAAAACAGAAACAGGAAAGGATGCAGCAAGAGAAGAACCCATTGCCACTTCTAACTAAACTCCCAAATACTATATTATGCTTCTAGAAGTTGCTGCTGCTGCTGCTGACTAAGTCAGCACTGTGGATGAGATATGTGAGCGCCAATGCCACCCCCATTAAGATATAAGCTATCCCTTGATCTATGGATGTCCCTGTCAATTCCCATTGCACGCATTCCAATTAGTTGATTTCCTTCTGATCTTTTCATTTTTCAACATTAACCATATTTTGAACTAAGATAATATAACCCTGCATTTTAATTAAACAAATGACGAGACCCAAGCAAAAATGGTAGGAACCACCATAATTGTGAGAAAATGGAAACAAAAGTGGTGGACCCTCAATTATTGTAATTTCAACGGAGACCATAGATTTCGAGGGGTATCCATAGATTTTAAGAGAGTTTGTTATTTCAACCAAACATGGATGTGGATTTAGAACCCAATCCAAGCCAATGCCCAAACCGCTCCTAGTAATTGAGTAGAAAACATTGTAATGTAAGGCTCGTGTGATTTAATTAATCAAGGAGCAATGCAGCTAAATTTCTTGATAAATTTAGAAAGTGCAGAAAAAAGAAGTAAAACCATATATTTAGTCTGATAATGACAATTGGTTTAATTTCACTTCGGAATGGGATGTTTATTAATTATTGAAACTATTAAGAAACTTTTTTCCATTTTTATGGTTACATGAAAATAGTTTTTTTTTTCTTTTTAAATTTCTCAAATTGGCCCGCAGATAACTAAAATTGATGGTACTTGTACCAAAAATGGATCCACCAAAAGCTTGATTGAACACACAAAAAATTGAAGGGATACACAATAAATTGAAGGGACAAAAAAGTGACATAAGCTAAGATTTGAGAAGTTTGTTAAGTCGCAGTTCATAAACGTAAATTGAAACGAAATTTTCAAAATTCCAATTAACTCAAAAACAGAACCTAAAAAATAACGCCAAAATATTCTACCGAAATCAAAGAATAAACAAAGGTCAGAGATCAAAGAATTGCACACAGATCTGGAACAGAAATGCAAAATAAAACATAAAAGAAAGAGAACTAACCGTCGCTGGTGGGAGCGGGAGCCGGAGCCAAAGACTGAGGCTGAGCAACCGGCAAGAAGATGGTGAAGACGAGCGCAGCGGCAGCCACGAATCCAAAAGATGCCCTAGAAACCGCCATATGAGTCCGAATCGTGCGGTAATTTCCCCTCTCCTTTCTGTAGGCGAAGAATCGCAAGAAATGTTGTACAGTAGGTTAGATCTCTCTCTGCGATGCGACTCTCAGGTAAAGAAGCTTCAAAAGGCTTCTTCTCCAATAGCTTCAAAGAGGCTCGCAGAGAGAGAGAGAGAAGGAAAGGAATCTCCCTTTCTCTTCTCGAAGGGCGAAATGAAGAAGAAGACGAAATCTCTAGACGGAAACAGAGGCAGTCTCGCGACGGGCAAACGAGGGGATCCAAACTTCCCAGGGTGTGCCCTTTTATAGGGTTAGCTTTTTCTTTTTTTCATTTATTTTAATTCTTCATTAATTTCATTATGTAAACCTAATAATAAATCTTATATAATTAATTATCCTCATAAACGTCTTATTTATTGATTATAAATAAACATTTGTAATTTTAAAAATTGAATTAAAGATAAAATGGGAAATTTGAAATTTATAAATTAAAGTAAAATTACATTTATAATTTAAAATATTATAAATGGGATACCAAACCAACCAATCATCTTAATTTCATTTTTCAAAACCGAGAAAATAGAAAAGGAAATTAGAGAAGAGAGAGAACCGGCCAAGCCGGTTAATTGAAAAGGCCCGGCTGGGGCCCACCACCATGTTTCCTGCCGTCTGTTGCCTTCTGCACATGCCGCCCATGCCGTCTTTCACCGTTTATTATTACCCTTTTTTTTTTCTTTTTTTCTTTTTTCATTCATCAGTTATATATTTTAAATTTAATTAAATTACAATTTTGACCTTAATTTGAAAAAAAAAAAAAGAAAAATTCTCATAATAAAATCTCATAATTACTGTTTAGAATTTAATAAATTCATTAATAGCGTTCATGTAATTGATCATATTATAAAACCCATTTATAATATTTAAAAGCGCATTCATCATCAAGGAGTTTTATGTTTCTTTAATACCATTGGAGGAGGTATTTAGAATTTAATTAGGTTCATAAATTTTATTTATTGATTGATTGATTGTTGCCATGTTATAAACATAACAACCATCAATATTATAGCAAAATTTGCTAATGTTATAATACACAATAATCCCCTTATAATGTTATAATATTCCAAGATTCTAATTTATTAAATTCATAAGCAGGTATAAAGGATACTACTTAAAATAGTATTTTTCATGCCATACAGTATATTTAGAATATTGATTTAGCAATAATTTAATTATCGAGGGGGGCCAAATATACATTTCTGCACATACAATTGGAGAATAGAAAAATGAAGGCAGGGCAGGCCTTTCCTCCAACATGCTGGCCATCTACTGATGGACAAAATCTCCATCTCATAACCAGCTGCATTATGTCCTTTCCACAAAATCTTACAGACTGTCCATGAAACAACCCAACCTCAAATTCGCCCGCTAGCACATATATAGTCCTCCAACCTCAATTCCGCCACTAGCAGATATAGTCCTCTTTGGGTTTTCCCCTATAAGTTTTAAAAGGCATATTCTAGGAAGAGGTTTCCACACTCTTATACTTCTAGGAAGAGATTTCCACACTCTTATAAGGAATGCTTCGTTCCTCCCTCTACTCCTACTGCAAGCAGATATTGTCATCTTTTGACTTTTCCTTTTAGGCTTCCCCTCAAGGTTTTAAAACGCATTTTCGAGGAAAAGGTTTCCACACTCCTATAGAATGCTTCGTTCCCCTCTCCAACCGATGTGGAATCTCAAAATAGGTTTTGGACCATTTTTTCTACCATTCAAATAGGTTTCTCTCCTCAGCAGTAGTAATATTGAAACAAAGTTGATGCAGTTTCTAAGTTCTAACAAACTGATTTGGTAGTAATAGAATTGATCCTAACTATATGATATAACAATTGCAATGTTCCCTATTGATGTCTCTCTCTCTCTATATATATGTATATAAGTCAGCAGCAGACATCTAATTATCTACAATAAAGGGATAAACAAGTAGATTTGAGCATAAGATTTAACCTTGCATCAAGCTGCTCCCTTTTTACTGGAATAGGAATTGATCTTCACTGTTCTTATAGATTTCAAATAACTGCTCCAAATGCTCGATGGAGATTCTTCTGCAGTCGATAAGACCACATATGTCGAATTTCTCCAACTCCATCACAGATCTCTTTAGCTTCCCTTGTGAATCTCCGCCGGTTAGAAACAATGCCAATGTTGAACCCCTGGAGAAATTTTGATCAAGAAAATTTTAACGCACACTACTTCCTCAACTAGCTTTACAAGAGCATCACTCAGTTGTGAAGACTTCCATGCACAAACAATCACCACAAAAGACAGGCACAAAACACTAGAAAGTAACAGAAATCGTCGTTTAGGTTGATACCCGAAAATAGCTTAAAGCATTGGAAACATATGTAAAGGGAACTCAAAACTGGGCTTCTTAGGTGCTTGTGTCAAAAGACTTGAAACATCAAAATTTTCACTACAGGTAGTAGAGTAAACTGTAGGAGCATACTAAAAGATAGCATAGTTAATAAGAAATTAGAATCTAACAGATGAAATGATTTACGCGTTTTGAATGATTGTGCGAATCAAATTAAGAAATATCGTTTAATCGTGGGAAAACTTCTTTCTTATTTTCAAACTTTTAATAATAATTGCAAGTATCTTAAGATAAATCTAGGATTCTATTCAAATCCAAGCCACATCGTGCAATAACGAACAGTTCATATGTTACAAGAGCCAATCAAGCTCCCAACAGAAGCTAGCCTTGCAATCCAAGAAATCAAACAAAAAAAATTTGATGTAATAAAGATGCATCGTTGAAAAAGTTCAGGAGATACCTGAGCAAATCAACCTCATGAAATCCTCTATGTCTGGAAGGCAAATATGCACTACGAGGCTTTCCCACTAAACTTGATTGTCTGTAGAGGATACAAACAGCTTCCATGCAAAGCATATCATTTTCATCAAATGCAGCACGCATTTCAGCCTCCGACCCCCATTTTTTATTACTCCTCTTCCCTTGGCCCTTTGACTTAAGATGAGTTGAGTCGTATCTATTTTGAATCTCACAATCAGAATCCGAGAAAAAGGAACAGTCCTCATTAAAGTAGTTGAAACCAAATGAAGCATACTTGAACATGGAATTATGTGATTTACATTCTTCCCTCAACATGACTGCAACCGCCCTTGAAGAGGACATCACGTTCTTGGAATCATTAGTACGAGTAGAAATATGCCTTTTCAAAACATGATTGTCAGGACGACCATGTGGAGGTGTTGCATACATTGCCCCTACTTTCTTCAATGCCTCCTTGCCATTAGTTTCACTGGGCAAGGTGGATATCTTTTCATCATCTCTTTCGGGATCGTAATCTTCACAATCGTTTAGTAATAAATCCCACGTTCTCTTTTCTTTTCTGCGTGCTCTGGATGAATTCTTCACTGGAGCATGATCATCATCACTAATGATTTCCACCATGAATCCTTCAGTACCTAGGAAGAAAAGATACCTTGGTCAAGTGAATAAATAATTCCAATCATACTTGCGTATGCCCAAATTTGTTTCATGCGTATATACATTCATCGGTGGCTACGTACATAAAAATTTAAGATGTCTGTACTTTGGCTTATACACGGAGAAAAATAACATCATAAACTTATACACGGAGAAAAATACCTTCAAAGATGAACTAAGCCCAATTTTGTGTATTATCTTCTGCCATAACCCAATAATGATGCATGAGCATAACACAATAGCTATATTCTTAAAATCAATGCACAAATTGTATGAAGCCAATGGATTAACATTTTATTCAATAAATAAACAAAGTTTAAGCTCATATCAAGATTTCCATTCAGAGGCAGCATAGGTATGATTCCTTATTAAAGATCTACCTAGCAGGTGTTAATACTAAATAAATTTCTAATGCCTGCACTTCCCAAACTTCCAATTTTCTAGCCAGTGGAGAGGCTTATAAGTGAGCTGTTCATAGAATTGTGATATCATTTTTGACAATCAATCGCATTTACTTAATATGCAAGTAGTGAACTTTCTGTTCTAGCATACCTGTTCGATTCTCGGCTTGCATACCAACCAATTTTCTGGAACCACCAACGCAAGCTCCTCCTGATATAGAGTCGTTTTTGTTCTCCAATTGTGAGACTCGGCGGCCGAGTTCATCATATTTCCTTCTACACAGTTCGTAGTTATGCTCAGCTTCTCTTTTCGCAATTTCTAATTTTGAATTCTTGCATTTAAGCTCCTCGACATACTTCCTTTCATCTTCCTCTGTCTTCTTGACCACTTCTACTGTACGTTCCAAATCTGATTTCCTGTAGTTAAGCTCCTCTAGTGAACATTCTAATTTTAAGTTCTTGCATCTAAGCTCCTCTATGGTTTTCACATGATCTTCCTTTACTTTCTTAACCACCTCCATTGCACATTCTAATTCTGAATTCTTGTGGATAAGCTTCTCTATAGTGATCCTTTGATCTTCCTGTGTTTTCTTGACCGTTTCCAGCAATTTCTCAAATCCCTCCAAAGCGCTTTTCTTCTTCTCTCTATCCTCATTTACTTTGAAAATCAAATCCTTGAGTTGTTGAATCTCACTCTCCTTCTCCTTCAACTCTTCATATATTTCCTTCCACTTCTCAAATCCTTTAGGATCAACCTTATCTTGCTCGAGCATGGATTCGTGAGTGAGAATGTCCAGTCTTAGAAACTCGTATTTGCTTTGGAGCAATTCATACTCTTTGTTCTTGTTCTCGATCTCTTTCCTCATTTTTACTTCCTTGGCAACCAAAACCGCCTCCACTTTGTCGAAATCTCTTGCCCGGAAAGCCGTCCGCAGAATCGAAACCAACTCTGAAATGCTCCGGCATTCAAGGTTATCGTCATCGATAGAAATCAAATCAGAAGACACAGAATGCGATTTGGTAGCCATTTGAAATTTCGAAGAAATGGTTCTGAGTAGAGTAGTGCAAATCAGATTTAGATTTGAAATTTCAATCTCTCAAGGAGGCAAATCGTTTGATCTTCTTCAAAAACACAAAAGAGGAAGCTTTAAATCCAGAGATTGCAGATTCTTTGTGAGTAAACTAAAGAGAGAATGTGATCGAACATGCAGAAGAAACTGAGAAGCTCACACTTCCAACGCGGAATTTGAAATGGGGATTTGTTTGATGAAGAAGTGCCGGGAAATGAAACCTGCATGAACGTCGAAAACGAATCTTCCATTTGTACGGTCAAACCGCATAGTCCGCAAAAGCGAATCGGCCCATTTTCGGATATTTGAACTCCATGGGCCTCTTTCTAAGGGCCCAACTTCATATATTTTATACGATTTTTATCGTAATAAATAAATTACATCTAAAAGGAAGTAATTCATATATCTCCAAAATAAAAAATAAAAAATAAAAATAAAATAAAGAAAGCATAACTACTATTTTTACTAAAAATTTCCAAATATATTTTACAAAAACAGCCTAAAAATAAAATCTATGACTTCTATAATCATTTTCTTTTTCATATTTTATTGTTATAATTAGTTCGAATGTAAATAAATTTAGATTTTAATCGAAAATCTGTAATCATACAAAAAAGAATCAAATCTCATTTGAAGTATTTTGAAGTCTTTGTTACATTTTTAACGTAACATTAATTGCAACTTTAATAAAATATTATTTCGTGGTAATTTGACCAACATTATTCCCAACATTCTTGGAATTGAAGCACCGTAATTTATATTAATCAAATATATATAACTACCATTGATACCTAAATTTTTTTTCTTTTTTTACTCAACAAACATATATACCAAAAATAATAAAAATGTTGAGGTCTAAGTGACAACATCAAAGTCGGCTAAAAAAAAGTTGACAAAGAAAGCCACATGAGAGCCTTTCTCGATAGATACTCAATATATTAAAAGTTTAATAATTTTAATTTATCAATTTAAACCTAATTCAATTAATATGTTAATTAATATTTTAATATTTAATTTATAATAAAGGATCCAGGAAGGTATCAATAATTTGATGGCTAAAAGCGAGTGTGATCAATATTCCACAACCCTTGTCTTCCACAACTTTATTTGTTCACCCTAAAAAATAGTGCACCACATAAAATAAATAGTGCATTATCTTTGGAATTATTTCTTTTTTTTTTTTTCATAATCTTCCCTCCATTTTTGGCCTTCATACCCAAATTTCGATAATTTAATTAATGGTATATTTTTCAAAATAAATAAACATTAGGTTCATGTTAAGTTATTTATTATGAAATCTCATATCAAACAAAATATTTTTTTATGAGAGTGTAGAAACCTTTACGTATTAAATATATTTTTTAAATTCAGGAGGAAGCCGTAAAGATGGTTCAGTTTAACTAATAACTCATTTATAAAGTAATATATAAATAATAAAATCACACGGAGAATTAAAAACTATCCATATATAACACTTAAAATTAATTAATTTTTTTAATTTTATTCTGAATTATTTTAATAACTCCGTTGAATAATTGCTTTAGTCGCCGAAGAAATTGCGCCAAAAATGTACAAAAACTGTAAATTCACATATTTTGTTTCAAAATATCGCGTTTTTTCCCGATAAAATCCCCCGAGATTCACGGATTTGGGTTTCTTCGTAATTTTGTAAAAATACGAGGGCAAATGAGCGGAAGAAGCGCCAAACTTTCCATCTCCCATCACAGTAAAGACAGAGGACCAGAGAATAAAAAATAGTATTTAAATAATTAATAACAAAATTAGAAAATTCTATTTTTCGCTTTTTATCCCTATTTAAATTATAGTTTCCGTTTTCTTCTGTTTCCTTTTTTTCTTATTTTTTTTTTTAAATTCTTTCCCCATTTATTATTTTCTTTTTCACTGACAGGTGAAAAATCCAGAATCAAATTCCAGGTAATTTAATTTTGAGCTTTTTTAACTTTTTTGTTTTTTTTTTTTTTTTACCTAATGAATTTCATTTAATTTGTTGTTAATTCTGCAATTTGAAATTCGATGAATTTGAACATTGAACATGAATGAATCTGAAATGAAATGAATTTATCTTGATTTCTTTTTAATTCTTTTTATTTTGATTTTGAATTAGTTGGATCTTGAAGAGATGTCCAAACATCGCTTCCGAAAAGGATTAACGGAGTGTAGTGGACATGATTTAAAATCGGATGATATCGCTGAACAACAGAAGATGACGAAAGCAGGTAAGTTTATTAGATTTGTTAAAATTTTCCTTTTGAAATAAAAATAAATTGTTTCATTTGCAGAAATGGAACAAAAGATATCGAGAATCTTGAAGCTAATGAAGAACAAAGATCATGGAAAAAACAGAGGAATGTCGAGGGACTTGAAGAAAGAAACGGAAGTTATTGGACTCGTTGAAGATCTATACAGAAATTATCAGTCGATTTATGAACAGTACGGTCATCTTCGAGATGAAGCTGAGAGAATTGTTAAATCCAGAAAAGGAAAAGAGAAGGACAACGAAGATGTCTCTTCTTCATCTTCAAGCTCTAGTTCCGATTCCGAGTCGGAATACTTTTCGTCGGAAGAGATAAGCAATAGTTGTGTTCATTCTTTACGGGATGAACAGTCGAGCATATTGCATGCTCAAATTCAAGCTGATGAACTAGAGAAACAAATTGAACAAAAGAATGAAGCGTTGGCTAAAGTTGATTCTCTGCATTGGGAACTAGATAGCGTGCTAAGCCAGAAACGGGAATTGGAAAACAGAAAAAATCAAGAGATATGTGAGAATATGATTTTGATAGGAAATTTGAAAGAAGAATTGACGGAAAAAACTGCCGTTGTACAAAAGATGCTGGATGAGAAAGAGAGAGTTCTTGCACGGATTAAGGATATGGAAACAGAAATAGACACAATGCATTACCGAAGAAGGGAAATAGAAGAACATAACATTCGGATGAGATCGGAAAATCAGTGGCTCAGCACAAGGAATTCTGAGCTGGAGTTGGCATTGACGAGTAAAGAGACAGAAGCTTCTTCTCAGACGATCGCCTTAATGGAGCAAGTCAAAAATCTGAAGCAAAAAATGGATGCATCGCAGGCTGAGAGAACAAAATTAGGGCAAGATATGGAGCAATGTAAACAAGAATTTTCTCACAAATTATCTGAAATGGAGGCCGAAAACAACAAATTGAAAATCAAAATCATCGATCGAGAAAGCATCCTAAAGGAAAAGGACAAAACCATTACTGCATTAAACGAGAAAAACAAGCAAGCGAAGAGTTGCTTACCGGACGTGGCTTCGAGCATGATAGGCGTAGAGAGGAAAATGGAAGATTTAGCAGAAGAGCTTCGCAACAGCCTGGAAGATAAAATTCGTCTATTATCGCAGAGAATCCTCGTTGCAGAGCAACTACACAACGAAAGTAAGGAAAACTTTAGGGCGAGAAACAAAAGGTACGAGCAAGAGAAAAGACAATTCGAAAAAAAAATCGGAAATCACGAGGCAGAGCTGATGAAACTCGGCAACATGAACGAATTCGAAATGGATAGAATGACGAGAAAAATCGAAGAAGAGAGCACCAAGCTTCTAAACCACATGTTAAAAATCACAAAGGAGCTCACATTCGCAAAATACTGGGTTAGAACGAGAAACAACGAGCTAAAACAACTGAAAACAAATTTAACTCGATTCGTAGGACAAATGGAAGAAAAAGAAGAACAGGAGTTTATGCTAAGAGAAAAGGTATGGAATCTAGAAGCGAAATTAAGTAAAGAGGGAGGGGAGAAGCTGAACCTGATAAGAAGCCTTAGCCAATTGGAGAAGAAAATGACGAAAATGGTGAACCTAGTGAAGGAGAAAGACGAAGAAGTGTTCCAACTTGCAGAAGAGAAGAGAGAAGTGATTCGACAGCTCTGTGCCGTGATTGATCACCATCGTAGCCGGTACGATCTTCTCAAAGACGCCATGATGAAGAATGTTAGAAACATAAAAATGATTTGATGATGGTCATTCTTTTTGTTATAATAATATTTTTTTTTTTGTTCCATATCTCGAAAAATTTTGGTAAATGTAAATGTAAAAGAAATATTATATTCATTATACTCTATACAAGCATTTATTCATTCTTCATTAAAATATTTTAAAGTTTATATGAATTTTGTTCCCTAAGTTTAAATATTTACACAATTAACACAAATTAAATGATAAAGAAATTAATAAAATTAATTTTGTTGAAATTAAAGCTTCATTTTCCCACGATTTCTCAACCCTTCCCGTGATTGGAGGGCAGGAAAGGAAAGGAAAGGAAAAAGAAAAAAGAGCGGGAAAGCTGGAAAACAAACAGTGTGGGTTTTTCAAAACATTTTATTTAATTATTAAATGGTTTTCTAACAAGTTCGAGGGGTTAATTAAAATCTCAGTGGCAAATTCCGTGAATATTCGCTATCTAAAGGGCAAATATTTTCGATCGCCACCACAGATTCCATCCCTTCAAATTTTGAAGCTGCAAAAATTGCTCTATCACTCGCTTTCTGGTTAATCTCTTCCTTTTTCATTTCCCATTTTCCGTTAATCTCTCTTTCTCTCTCTCTCTCTCTCTTCCTGTGTTGCTGGTTTTGTTCTCTCTTATCTTCGGTTCGTCCTCTGATTTTCAGGTAATTTTTTAAATTCTTCTTTTTAATTTCATCGTTTTTGTTATAATAATTATCTTCTGTTTTCTTTGAGATTTTGGTTGATTACTTGATGTTTCAGTTCAATTCCACGTGTTTTTTTTTTCTTTTTCTTGTGTTTCTTGTTTCTGGAATTTTTGAATTCATGTATCGGATCGAAGTTGATGATTGCTTGAGCTTGGATTGGTTTTGGATGATTCGTTTTTTTTTTTTTTTTCTATGTTGTGTTGATTTGACTGAATCTTCTGTTGAGTTTAACTTGGTGGTTTTGGATTGTGGATGGGCGTTTTTAGTGTGCTGAAGCTATTACTGCTACTATTTTTAAGCGAATCTAATTGCGCAAGAATTTATGTATGAATCTATTTCGCTTACAATCCGATCACTTCGAAACTTTTCCTGCTGAAATGGAAGATGGATTAGCTATTTTGGTTGCTAATTTGCTGTAGTTGTTTGGAGTTTTGTGTTTATTTTGATTTCTTCTGTAATTGATTCTTGTTTCTCGCTGTGTCTAGTTCTGGATCCAGAAATATGACTG